ATTCCGGTTGAACGACAAAGAAAACCCATAACTAACAACAAAGCACTCTCTAAACTCTCTGGCCAAAGAAGCTCTTGTAAGCATTCTACCGGCCTTATGTGGTAAGATCAGTTATGGTCAACCTTGAAACGTGGCAGCAAGCACTGGATCATACGAAGTCTGGATGAAGAAGAATCGATAAAGAAACTTGGTGGTGGACGATGAGGTTTAAACAGTGATAAAGGAGTTCATAAAGAAGTCAGGTCATCCCACCAGCTGATCCGAACGGGCCAGTGCCACCTATAGCAGCTGAGGAAGTATGGCATGCTATAAGAAAAACAAAGAACGGCAACCATGTCCAAATGACATACCAAGCGAACTCTGGAAGGAATGCTTACGATTCAGCGCCCTTGAGTGGCAGGCCTCTTCAATCAGGTCATCAAAGCTAAGAGCATGCCCTAAGAGTGATCAAGGAGCACAGCGGCTCCGATATGGTGAAACAAAAGCCGACATCGCAGACTGTTCAACATACTGGCCAATCCGACCAACGAGCCACACCCTGAAGATCTTCGAAAGAGTACTGTACTTGAAACACGACTTCGAGCGATCATAGAGTTGCCATCCAGTCAGTGCGAATTTGTGAAAAGTGCCGATACTGCTGACGCCATCCTACTGTACGGATAGTGATGGAGAAGTATAAAGAAAAACGGAGAGCTACATGCGGCTTTTTTGGATATGGGGAAAGCTTTCGACAAGGTACCCCATGGTGTCATGGTGGGCACTGCGAAAGCACATGAAAACAGAAAGATAATCCAATGGATAGAGATGATCTATCACGGAGCCACGACTATGTGCGATTTGCGGCAGGACAGTCAACACCATTCCAAAGACCGGGTACATCAAGGATCTGTACTCTCTCCTCTTCTTTTCATCACAGTCATAGACGCAGGGATGGAAGTTCTCAAACGACAGCCTCCATGGGCTCTCCTGTATGTAGACGATGTGGTGTTTATGGCAGAAAAGAGAAAAGTACAAGAAGAGGTATAGAGATGGAAGACCAATTAAGTTAGTACGGCTTAAAGCTCACAAAGACAGAATATATGGAAGACAAACTTTACAACAAACGAATGCCAGTGCAACTCATCTCAGATATGCCGTGTGATCCGCCCCACAGCGCTGTATGGTAGCGAATGTTGGCACGGTACGCGAAGACACAAGGTTAGTGTCATGAAGTTAAGAATGCTGCGGTGGACACTGGGTATCACCCAGTGTCTACCGCAGCATTCTTAACTAGATCATGTCTGTAATGACACAGTAGAAGCTAAGATAAAAGTTATTCCCTTTATTAAGAAGGTGCAGGAAAAACGACTGTGATGGTACGGATATGTGAGCAGAAGTGTTGAGACCCACATCACAAAAGTGGCAATGTCTCTGGAGGTCGTTGGAAAAAGACCGGGGATAGCCAAAGATGGGGTGGATGGACAGAATCAAAGCTGACAAAGAGCTTACGATAGACGAACGTCATGACTTCAATCAAGAATACTGGAGACAGCTGACTCGTACAGCAGACCCTGCGTAAGCAGAAAACTGCAAAATAAAGCGCAAGACAATAGGCTTAAGGTAATTAATCAAATTCCTAGTTGAGTGATAGTTTTGTCGAGTGTTGCTCAATAATATTAGCCTACATCCACTACAGGTCAAAGCCAGGGCGCATAAGGTGAGAGACAACCTATGAAGTAGAGGTTGATGATAGTGATAAATCCCCATTGAACGCTCATTGAGGCAGAGGATTCAACAGTAGTAACACCTGTATCCCGCCTTACTTGAGCGCTGCTCAAATTTGCTGATGTAAGCGAGTTTTTTATCGAGCGAACATCACAGAGCTTTTTGGAGCAACAAGGTGATCCTCGCCGGCGGTGAGCTTGGCTCAGAGCTGTGGCCTGAATTATGTGTCATCTATACAACTACTAGCCGTAATTTTGCGAGTAGTTTATGGAGGCTTCGAAAGCTCCACAAACAATCAAACAACTGTTCCCAATACCATGCTGATAGACAACTTCTGCAAATTTTGTAATCTTTTCTAAACCAAAAAATTCTCTTCGAACTTTGACAGATCTGAGCCAGTACTTATTTTTAAGTTCAAGGTAGTGTTTTTTGAAATTGTTCCAGAGGCCAAAAAATCAGGAAAAGGTTAAAAGTGCAATTATAATTATGGCCAACTTTTCAATACGTTTCTTAAAATTTTATTTAGCTGCCAAACTCGACTCTGTTCGGCATAAATCAGTGAAACCTGAAGTATTTTCATGGCTGCAAAATGCAATTGAAAACTCAGGAGGAATCACCACTCCTACCTCATTGTAGCTTTTTTCGTTTTCTTAGCTGCCTGAGATACTAATCTGCGCAATTGTCTTGCTTTTTGCTATCTCGTCTATTGTTCTGCGCAACCGCTCCGCTCCAATTACTTCTATTTAAAAATTATATGGGCTTACATGATCTTGTTTGATGAGTTTGATAGCGATTATTAACGTAAGCTCATTTTCAAGCAATGACCTGTTTGGCGCAAAGTCCTAAATCAACTCAACCATCGAATGAGTAAGGCAGCTGGCATGTCCGCTGCTCGGATGTATAGAATCTCCAAGGTACGACCTGCAGCCTAGTACTTGTATTCTTATGCGGCTTTGTCACTGTCAGTAACCTACATTTTGTTATATCGTGTCCTGTTTTCTCAGAAAGCAATATAACTCAGAATCTGCCACTTTTGAAAATCCTGCAGTCACACCATCGTGGCGGTACCACCTGCTGACTCCGCCACGCTGGCTCCGCCACGCTGGCGCTTTGCAATGTTGTCTGTTGTTTGATTTCATTTCTATTTGACTTTTGTTTCAAAACGGAGAGAAAATCTGAAGATTTATGATAGTTTTATGATCATTGTTTTTAGATACGCATTTCTCAAGTTTTTTAGTCAGTGCCATAGTGAAGAAGGGAAGCACGCGCAAGGTAACCAAACTGACTCAAGTTCGCATATCTCTGACACTTCAACTTCCTTCCCAGCGTTTCTTTTCGTGCCAAGCAAAGAATCCCCTTATTATGCTTAGAAAAAGCGCTGAGATAGTTGAGCAAAATGACGTATTTCTATACGAGCGTTTCTCGAATTTTGTCGCTTTCCGCCCTACTCCATGGAAGAATGGTGATGACGCCGACGCAGATAGTGAATTGAGCCAATATAATCTATAGTAATCTAATAATTGAGATTTGAAATCTAGCGGGACGGAGTCAGCAGTGGTCCAGCCACGATGGTGTATCTGTAGGATTTTCAAAAGTGACATATTCCGAGTTATGGTGGTTTCTTGTTACCTCTTGCTTGAATCTTACGCATTTAAAGCCAGATTATTAAGAAACACTCGAAGTTAAACCATTGCTCGTTCAGAAAAGTCATTGATATACACTATAACCTTAGAGAGCAAGTGGAAGTAATCTGCTTCAATAATTCTTTCTGTTTTAGTAGCTCGCTTTTGTCGTTGCTGGTATCATGGATTGCGTTGGAGCGTCTAGAAAGGTTTAAATCTGTTTCACTAATTATAGAAACTCGTATCTAAAGTTACATTCGGCTGCGAGAGGCGCGCCCCATGAACCAATACAAATGAATTGTACCAAATTGTTGGTGGGGAGCGCAGTTTGACAATTTGCTTCTCTTCACCTTTGTGAATACATGACCTTCTCTGTTCTGTGGTAGTACGAATTTAATAATTTCACGGAATGCTGTATGAACATTTGATAAAAGCTTCAAATCCCATTTGAAAACCTAAAACCTATTGTCAAGTTTGGTACTTCTTAGTTTGGAATTCCTGTTTTTGCGGTAATACTGCAGGCACGTTTAACATAGCAAAATGGCGGGGAGGGGTGGGGGGTCATTACGCGGTTAGCGGCGGTCGGATAGCTCGGAGCAGAGCACGCGCAACCTCAGTAGATTGAAGCGCTTTACTCCGAATACAATGTGAAAGATTTAAGCGAAGAAATGAGGCGTACGACGCTTGCTGAAAAGTGAAAAATTACATCCATTGAAGTATGCATATGCTGAATTATGTGGACCGAAATATGATTTTATTGAAAACTCTCACTCGTGTAAAGTTCAAATGGTTGATTCTGTAGACAAGAAACTGTTGTACGAGAAGAGAAGAGGAAAAAAGACTACAGTGTTGCAAATACATACCTGATTACTTTCCTCCAAATAATTCAAATGGCAATAGTAAAAGTGAGACATAACTCTCTACGTTGTAACAACGAAAAGATAGATTGTCGTAGCCTTATGATTGCTAAGCCCCTAGAAAAAGCAATTAGTTATTTTTTTCAGGAATATAAGAGTAGAGCCTTATGATACTAGTTCCATGAGGGGC